CACGTTTTGCACGGTCTTCGGATTCAACGGCTCCGTAGCAGACGATTTCTCGATACGCTGTTTCCTCCTCTGTGCACGCCGTTTCTTCGCCTTCGATTCGGCGCCGCAAGCTAAGAAATTATTCTGGAAATACTGCTCGATTTCAGAAAGCTTCTTCCCGTGGGTCTCCGGAAGCAACAACCATACGAACGCTGTGGCTGCTAAAGAAACACCCGCGAAGAACCATTGCACTGCATAGGATCCTGTGGAAAAGATGGAAAAGGTACGTGTGACGACGATATTGCTACACGCGTATCGAGAAATAATTCGGAGATAAACGTACCTCCGAGGAAAGCTTGTAAACTTCTGTAACTTTGCAAAGCTGAGAACATGATCAAGTTGGCTATAGAGTAGCTGATAGAATGTGCTATTCCTCGAATTTCAGTTGGAAACAGTTCAGCAGTCATGGTCCAAGGGATGGTCAGCATACCAATCATAGACGTGCAAACGTAGAGCAAGAGACAGAGAACAGGAACCTGATACACGGATGGAAGAAGAGACAATTGGTTTGGACGAATTTAACGGTGAGAGAAATATCAGCTAGTTTCGTATGCATACCCAGTATCCGGAACGATCACCGTTCTTGATGAGGTACGTGTAGTAACCGGAAACGATCATGCACAGTGCCATTCCCACAGAAGAGACTATACAAAGTGGCCGTCTCTTGTACCGCCTCAGCAGCCAAGTGTTCACCATCGAACACAGAAAACGTGTTACACCGACTAGAATCGAGGCTACATACTCGTCCACGCCTGAGCCTACTTCCTGTATCGTGACAGCAATTATTCGAGATACATGTCTTGAACGATGAGCAGACAGACAGACACACACGCGCACAAGTGACACTTTTTTTCAATTTATTCGTCACTTACTTGGAACCACGTGACTGCGTAGAACAGAGTGATGTAGATGCCTGAGAATTGTTGGAAGAAGAAGAAAAGTATGAGTATCGTTATAGGTTTCCATCCAGTGGGCTTCAAGAATGCCCTCAGTTTGGCAGACACTCCGCCGTGTTTGCTATTTCTACGCTCGCTCAATTTGATCTCGTTCTCCTTTACGATCGTGGTATATTGCGCCTCCGCGGCACTCACTTTCCCCTGTTTTGCCTCATACTTATACAGCCTGCAATCGTTAAAGCGTTTTACTTTCCTCGCTCTCGGTGAAATCTGTTTTCTACTTTTCGTTGCAAAGGACACTTTTATTTCTTTTTTTTCATTTAGCCATCGGTGAATGAAAACTCGCACAGCGTGAAAACTTTGAGGAATTTCAATCTACAAGAGGAATTCCTTACCATTCCAACGATTTCTTCGCCTCGTCCAGTCGTCCCTTAGAAACGAGCCATACAGGCGATTCTGGGACGAACAGTTGCACCAATACCACCGGGACAGCGGCGTAAATGATACCAAACCAGGCGACCAGTCTCCACGAAAGATACGCACCCTTCAAATACGAAAGAACCATACCGAACGAGGCCAATGTTGGACCGAAAGATATCATAGATCCTCTGAGTTCTGGTCTCGCGACCTCGGTGATGTAAACGATTGCTGGCGAGGTAGCCAGAGCTGTGGCTAAACCACACAACAATCGACCACCTAAAAGCATCGAGATGTTGGTCGAGGTTGCTATGAGGATCCACCCTGCCATGAAGGGAATAGAACCAATTTGAAGTGTCCGCAATCTTCCAACTATCTCCATGAGAAATCCACCCAAAACAGAGCCCAAAGGAGCGCATACTACCACCACACTCGCTGAAAATTAATTCGTTTCTCGTTAGATTTAAAGAAGCTGTAAAGATCGTCGGAAGAAGTCGTTAGTATCGTTTATGCAAATTAAGCGTTAAACCTATAATATTCTGTAAGAGCGTTTAAAGCTCGTAAAACGCGTTAATTATCCGTTTCATTGACTGGAATTCTGTTATAGACGTTAGCCTCGTTTTACTATGCGCAACGATCCTATCTTTTCGTATATTTTTATCTCAACTAGATGTGCGAATGTAAAATGAGTTACAAGTAAAGGAGAGTTACTCACCGATCCAGGAAGTCTGTTCTTGTGTCGCGTGTAGTTCCGCGTCCTCAGCCTCGAGATGAGGAATAAGAATGGCGGAGTACGCCATGGCTAGCCCTACCGTAATATGGAAGGTTGCGCTAATGATACAGGAGGCGATCTAAGGGCAGATTCGGTTAGATATTTTATTCACTCGAGATACTTTTTTTTCCACGCGAAAAATATTCCATCGTTGATCAGTTTATACCTCGGGTATGGCATTTCTAATGGTGGTCGGCTCGACGAAGCCTTTGTTGAGGCTTCTGCTCGAAACGATCGCATCTTTGAAGCATTCTCTTTCATTCTCCTCGATGTTCTTCGACGCCTCGCGCTCCACACTGAAACAAATAACAAAGAATCCATACCTATGACGCTACGTTCTCATCTTTGCTTCTTCTTTTTTCTCCTTATTAAATTTCCGTGTGATCTATAAATATTTGTGAAATCACACACACGCATACCACCTTCCATCTTTGTTTCCTCGTGAATCCGAAGGTTGCCGTGTAGAGAAGAGATCATATTGGCAGTACACGTGACACACGATTTGCAATTATGACAAAACATTTTTCCCCGTGGTTACGTAAGCCGGTTAGTATAAGCCGCGTGTGTTCTGTCGAATTGTCGACAATGTCAGAACTATATAATTTCCAAGAGACGATTCTCTTTCGTAACATGAATGACATCACGAGAATCAGTTTATCGGGCACGCATGATGTTTACGTCTGGTCCGGTAATTGCGAATAGATTTATAGCAGCTGGCGATTTATTGCGACATGTCGATACTACCCAACTTAAGTCGACCGATGACAGGCAGAAGAAGACTGGAAAACCGTTCGAGAACCGTTTAAACCGAACAGACACGTTTAATGACCGATCGTTTCGTACTACCTTAAGTAGCATATCGTTATTTATACGATCCTTATGAATATTCCAATTCTCTGTAAGGGCAACGACACAGAAGACATCGTGTTGCGCACTGTTGTCGGATTCGCGTGTCTCGACTCTAAGCTGAATTATACTCGACTTAATTAAAACGGGCAAAGAATTAACGCGCGTTAATTCGTGGATTTCGCGTGTCGTCGACTTGGTCCGAGTAACTGGCTTCGCTGATAAAATAACGAGAGATGGTTGGTACATCGCGGTTACAGTTTCTATTACACAATGCCTACCGATTCGTTTCAATTCAATCCGTTTACTACCAGCGCAAAGTGTTACCATTAATTTTCCCCGCGGTTGATCGCCATGTTAAGAAATTATGTAATTTCCTGGTTCCATGGTAGAGTACCTACGATTACACACAAAAACGCGTATACATTGTGCAACGAGTCCGATCGTTCTTCGTTTTTCTTCTTCTCCGACGTTGAGTTGATCGATTAAAAAAAGGAAACGATGTCAATTGGAAGTATCGTCCGTACGAATTAATGAAATTCTCCGCTATCGATCTCTGCCTCGACGAGGATGCTTTCGAAAGCATCTTTACGCACGTAGCCAATCGGCAGTCAGTCAAAGTAACACCCGAGCATCATATGCCGACACTCTAATAATAATTTATCTAAATTGAATGATCGTCGACCAGGTGTATTCTTTCGAGTGAGCGAGAGAAAAGAAGAAGAAAAATTTCTCGCCTAGAGACATAGTGTGTTCGTACGTCATAGTTATGGAAATGTGCGAATAACTGACACAGAAAGGAATTAAAACGACGGTATGCATTATCAATGAAACTATACGTACTGCGCGTATATGCTAGGAGTGTCGTGCATCGAATACGTCAAACACGAAGAGACTAATTGCGGTATCCGTGCGTTTTCAAGTTGGCCAACGAGCGAGATCCGTTCGCAAATATAAAATATCGCTCGTTATCGTAACTCATTTATGATCACCACCGATATCAATTCTTACGCGACTTGCATCTGGTACAATGTCACTTCGACACGTGAACAGAGAGACAGACCAGCGGGAAAAAAGGAACTTGTTCAAACGATATTAAACATTCTCTAAGAATAGAAATGCCAGTTAAGCGTATATACGTATACATTTAACGTTGGCATCTTTCAGCTTATTATATGCCCTGTTGAGGCGTGAAACGAAGCGGCAAATATGACTTGGACTTGTAACACGTAACACGCGTCGCGCACACCTGGCGAATTTCGAGTTTAAACGAAAACGTTCGGAGCGTGAGATCGTTTCGAGGAAAGTTTCAAAAGGAACGATCGTCTTTTATTTTTCGAATTGATTATCTTCCTTGGTGAGAATAAGCGAAGCTACTTATGACTTGGACTTGGAATGTGTAACACACAGGACAAATTTCGAGTTTAAACGAAACGTGCCGAGCGTAAGATTGTTTCGAGGAAAATTTCAAAAGGAACGATCGTTTCTTATTTTTCTAACTTAGAGTTCGTTTATCGACCTAATCGAGACACTCGATGATTATCGAATGGCGTCAATCTACAACTTTCTTACTTCCCTACGCTTCGTTCTCCGAAATGAATCAATCTGTTATCGCGATTATTGTTACATCGATCGCGATAACGTTTCGAAGAGAAAGAGATCGAATTTGAATACAAAATACGATTTCGATCGTAGAACTCTTTGTTAAGGTGACGCATAATAGGTGACGCGACTGAGTTACCGTGATAAGATAAAACGGGGAAAAAAGCATTTCCAAGTACAACATTGCGAATTTTGATTACCGTTCCCGATCACGCTCGCATTCGTGATCGATCGCTTTCCGATCACGAACCAACTCGCTCGATCCTCGTGTCTTATTTTATTCATCCTAGTATCACGGTAACAGTAATTGACCTATTCACTGGCCGATTGTAAATGGACGTAGAAGTGGAACAGCTACCGGTAATACTACGTGTATTTCCTATATCGCGGCAGAAGAATGCAACCGGGTTCGTTTCGTTTCACCTCTCCCTTCGACGGACCTTCGCAGACATACGAGCCGTTTATTTCCTCAGCGGTGTGAGTCCATTCTTAAAAAGATCATAAAACATGTCGTTAAATCTTACCACGATAGACCGAAGCATTTTGAAAACGTGATTATCACCTCTGTACAAAACTTGTACACCCGTAACGTCAGCTAAATACGAAGATACGAGTGATTTATTGCCTCGTACCGTGCATCACAATTATTTCACGAACCTTTCTCAATTGATAAATTCAAAACCACGAATATTTTTTTTATTTTTAACATATTATACATTTTATTTTAAATATGATTTAAGTCACGCTGTTGAAAATTTCATTTCGTTTGATTTTGAAAAATGTTTCTTCCGATATATTTTATATGCTTCAACAGTTGAAATATTTGTCACCGGAAAAAACATAAGGTGAGACTACTGGTGATCGTTAATATTTTCGAGTCGATTAAAACTCTTAAATATCTCAATATTTAGGAAGATGGACTTACATCGCTATCGAAATAAACGGCTCTTCACTTGGCAATTTCAATTAAGGCGTCCAACATGATAGATTGCCCTTTCAATCATGGTAATTTCATCAGAGTGTAACGATGTTTATCTTTTTACAATATGAACTCGTGTTTACGCCTTTTGCCACGATACTGCCACGTTTATGTAACGCGTATTCCCACCAGGGATTAAGTAAATGTATTAAGAGAAGAGAGACGTACAGGGGTCAGAGGTTAATTTCCGAAATGAAAACCGTGTCCGTCAAAGTTCTTTCGTATGTGTATACGTAACTGCGAATTGACTCACGTCTAAAATTATTATTTTAATTCCCCACGTTTCGATTCGAAAGAAGAATTAACTTTCGCTGATACGTCGAAATTCGACGATATTACAGCCTGGTGTTATGATAGAACGAAGGTAATTCAACGCGAGAGAGATAGGAGGATGTGAGAGGATTTAAAGAACCGTAGGACTTGGTCGAAAACAGGAGCATGGTCGATTTACGCTGGCAAAACTGGTTCTCTGGGGAATCAGTCTTCCTGTTATTCCCCCGTCAGCGAACCACGTGTTTTTACCCGAGCTTCTCTTTCTAGAAGGAAAAAATCGATCGAGCGACTCCATCGAAATTTTATTATGCTCCCTTTGTCCCGATACCGGTTTCCTTAGCCATATACTCTTCGTTTTAACATTGCCTCCTTGATGTGATTAATATAAAAGTACAGGGCCTCGATCGTCGATAGAATCGCGAATCTCTCGAAGGTCGCTTTCCAAAATCTATGTACATCAAACCGCTGCGTAGTCGAACGATGAAAACAGTTTCCACTCTCTCCCTCTATCTTTGTCTCTCTCTCCCTCTCTTTCTCTCTCTCTCTCTCGAAGACGGCCGGGGAATCACAATAACGTAGCTTCGAAAGATGGTGTCGTCATTCGTTGCTGAATTCTCAATCACCCTTGCTTAATGTTATGAAATACAGAGAAACTCGTATCGCGATCTACGATGTCAACTAAACGCATAGTTTTGAGAACCACTTTTCAAAGTGGGAACAATAGCCATGGCTTGCCTCGTATGTCAACGATGAAGGTTCAAATTACGGTTCGATAAAGAATAATTAAAACTTATCGTTACACGAAAATGAACTATCGAATATGCGCGTTCTAATGCCAACTGTTTTCCAACTGAATATTTCTTTTCCTTTTTCCTCGCGACACGATTACTCTCGTTTTTTCTGTTTTTGCCGCACAGAAAGAACGCACAATGAATACGGGAAGGGAAGACGAAAGCTGGATCTCTCTGTGTCATCCGAAATCACACGGACAAAGGGACAAGGATAAATCTTCGGGTAGACAGCTCAACCGAGGATCGTACCTGCGTTGGATCTCAAAGGTAAGTCGTGAATCGATCTATTTTCACCCAAAACTACCATCTGCTCCGACTGGCAGAAACACTTTTCTCCCTTGCACGTTTCACCTCGTCGGCGTAATACGAAATCAGTCGGTATCGTTTAACCGGTGATAATTTCCAAATCGAACGACCGTTGCTTGCTTGAGCATTTATTACACAGACGCTAGACGGGTGTCCCGACTTCTTTTCTTCTCCACTTTTGAATCTCCTCTACGTTAGTAAACGTCCCTTTGAATCGCATTTACAAGCGGTGTATTTACACGGTGTTCCGTTTAAGCGACACTAACCTTAACGAATAAGGATCCATGACTGGCTTTCAGGCTCCTTAGTGATACGTCTGCTACGTGTTTTCGCTGCTCCTCCCCTTTCTTCAGTGAACGCGTTTAGACAATTTGACCTCTCCTAAGGGGAACCCTCGTCAACTCAGAACGAGAACGTCGCACTTGGTCACCATCTTAATACACTCTGAAAAGGGAGAAAAGAGGAAAATCCTCGTGTAAAGTATCAGTGAAAATCGGAACAGTTACGAGAAACAGACGTTCGTTAACTTGCATCATTCTCCTCTCGTGTATAATGGTCACGAACGTGCACACAGTCTGTACGTATCTCGAAGGAGATTGTGGAATACCGAAGCTAATGATACGGTAATTTTCGTGGTCGAAACTACCACTTTGTCGTAGGACACGAACTTTCTACGTTAAACAAGAGAGAGAGAGAGAGAGATGCATCTCCAGAACATGCACACACACTGGCTCTCGCGAGCGAAACACGCTTTTCTTTCGAAAAGTTTCCACCAGCCAACGGCTACCCCCACAAAATGCCTCTTTATAGAAACGATCGTTGCTTCGTGTCAACTATCCACTTAACACCAGATCTACCGACGATTAATAATCTACCACTATCTTGTGATCTATACGAAACGTTTCTCTCTCTCTCTCTCTCTCTCTTACACCATCCCTTTAATAATCACGGCTCGGTTTCGTGGAAGATTCGGATTGGAAGGATTGCACGCAACCAGAATTTCTCTCGATTAACGCAAAGAGAAGAAGCGGGGTAATCTCTTTTTTTTCTCTTCTCTGAAATCTAGAAATCGTGCATCAGGATCGGGAGCCTTAAAGGAGATACGATTCCTGTTGATCGTTCGATAGTGAATCACAATGGACAGGGACTTTGCGCCGTGTTGCATAAGCGACTCACGTGCCAGTTGCCCTGTCACGTGATTTATAATTAAGAACAGATAGGAAATAGCGATCGAAGATGGTTACAATCTCTCCGTTACGAATATTTCGTTTAATCGGTTCGACGTGTGAACGATGTTTCCGATACACTTGTATTAATTACCAGCGATTAGTTTAGATTAAATAAGACATTAAATTAGATTAATTTTACGAGGCTCTTTATCGTCAGATAGAAGATAATCACGTGTCGAAGACTGCACGTGTAAAAATTATCGATCGATCGTTACGAATTAGCGATAAAACGGGAAAAACTTATTCCGCCTGTTTCGCGCGGTACAACATTAACCAGGGTTCGACTGAAGTCCAATTTTCCTCAATTTCGCATACTCACTTCCAGCCGAGCATTTTGTCACGCTATACACACTTCTCTCTCTCTTTTGTTTTTGTTTTTTTTTGTTTTTTTTATCTACTCCGAACGACAAAACGACGAGGGTATTGTACACGACGAATCGGGTCAAAGGTTCGGCAAAAACCGACCGGCATTAGGCAAAGTAAAACGTGCATAGAGATCACAGGTGCGGCTTGGATGATATTACGTCATTTACGTGATTAAATCAGCCGTTGCCAGTCTCGGATACCTTTACCTGCCGTATAATCATACAAACACCGTTCGTTGTCGCGATTTGGGAAGAAAACAGAGGAAGACCCTAGGAGAGTTAATGTGTCGTACGTACGAAATTTCTGAACGATTCGTTCGAACCAAGATACGATTTATTCGTAGATTTCTATCGTCCCGATACGATTCTAGCATTGGAACAGTGGTGTAGGTCACTGCCACGAAGTGTCTATTTTCGAGGCACTGTCCCTGCTTGGCGAAATGTTCATAACACGTACTGTAGGTACATACAGAGGTGGTAAACGTGTGTTTCCTTGAACCTCCGACGAAGATTGTTCTCGAAAGCGGTTCTTCGCTCCGTTTAAAAGTACGATTCACCGTGTCTCTGCGAGTTGGAAACTGGGGCAACACGAGATACCAGGAGCAGACGCGACGAGTGACTCCCGTGTAGTCCCTATTTCGAGGGAGAGAGAAAGAAACGTTTCAACGGGGAATCGTGTATCCAGGAATTAACGAGACGCCAGAAGGATCGATCGACGAAAAGTCAACGGCACCACCGTGGCTGGCTGCGTGCCTGCGTATGCGTCCGTCTATTATCGTCCATCTCTAACAAGTCGATTCCAAGAGGAATTTCTTCACTATGTGTACACCGGTATAAACACTTTGTAGATATATACATGCATACTCGCGAATAGTACGTTTAAATAGTCCAGGACTCACCTTCCTAGTATCAACTTTCTTCTCCTTCTTCTTCTATTTTGCTAACCCTGAAAGTCTCGAGGAAAAGAGACCACCCCGATCGATCAAGTATATACGAAATGGAAATTTGGAAAAATTTCAAACGAAAAACACCTCTTCTTCCGATAGTTTTATCCTCGTCTCTGTTGATCCTCTCACTCTCTTTCTCTGCGTCTGTCAATTGAAAGGAGCAGCCAGGAGCCTCGCTCGTCCGACTACGAACGCCTCGCGACGTGCAGTGCGCGGTGGCCGGTACGCGACTAAAGCTCGTTAGAGAGCAGACTCTGGCTGGCCTGGCCAGCCGGTCGATCGTCTCCTCTCGGCGACTCGCCTGGTTCTCTGTGTCGGTGGTATTGTGTGCGACAAAGCGACCAATTTAAGGGTTGCTATCACGCGTATAGAATGAAAGCTGCACAGGACAGAACAATCAGATATGAGACACTCGTGGAACGATGATCGGTTCTCACTTGAAACGTTAACTATACTCGATGGGCACTTCCCGTCCTCGTCACCCTAGACGTTCTTTATTCAACGTGGAATTCTATAATTACCGAAATACCGTCCGAATCTTTTTTTTTTTTTTTAGACTAATTGGACTCGGTCCAATTTTGCGAAACGTCGAAAGAAACAATTTAGGGGAATAGACAGAAGCGATATTTACTATCGGAGATATTCACTGGAGGAGAAATGTCGGACGTAAGAGTTCACGTGTACGGGAGCGTGTATTACGAAAACAGCGACGAGAACGGAGGCATGTGAATCACGTGGACACGCGAAAGAGGTTGCTGCTCGTATGGTGCACTGTATACAGAAATTCTGCATAGGAGGTGTTGTCTATCCTTGTGAAGCTGCATAGAGAAGGGGCGGTGTACACACGCGCACGCACGCGAAGCGTCACGAAACAACTCGAAAGACATAAGACGGGGGAATGGCTCGCGGGTCTTTAACCTATTTCCTCAGGGTCAGCTTGTCGATGGAATCGGTAGATGTATCTCTCTGCGTGAACATCCGAAACGTTGGACAAGAATAATCGCAAGGGGGAAAAGTTGCTTTAAATTTTCCACGAGATCTAATCGGTACGGTGGCTTTCTTCTTTCGTTTCATCCTCTGTAATCGAGAATCGATTGCGACAATCCTATCGATTACTCTTCTAACTTTTTTATCAACCGGACAATAATATCGATACGCAGGAGAGGCTCTTCTGCGAGATAATATCGCGATTCCGGGGGTAAGATAAAAATTCGAATATTCCTTGTGTCTGAATAATAGTTATTAAATGATAATTTATTTTTTCCAAGCAAAATAGAGAGATAATGTGGCTCGTTAAGAAATTCAACGTAAGTGTATCGTGTTTAACGATCCAGTGGCGCGTCGAAAATAGAAATGTTTCCAGAGATGTTTGAAGAAAAAAAAATTGGAAAAATGATTTGCAATAACTCCGTAGAACAATGGCCGGACAAAATAATATATACATCCTGACAGCTGTGTAACCTTGTTGAAAATATTTGCGACGCTTTTTGAAAGGTGATTTTCTACCTGGCGACGCATTTGAAAAACCTATTTAAGATCTACCGTGTGACATAATCACGATTAAACGGGCTGTGGCTTTGCTATACGTATATAGTGTAACCAAAAGTGAAGTAGGTCAGATTCGTGAAAGGAAAAGAAAAGAAAAGTAAATTGAACGTAATTAATGTGATCGAATCTGGAAGAAAAATATTTTTATCCGTTCGACTCGGCTTCCCCTAACGATACGATTGAACGCTAACTGCGTCACTGTGACAATCTATATACATATTTCGTGTGAACTGTCTGGCTGTCGGTACTTCCGTTATCTTTAATCCATTCACTTATCACTGAATGAAACAGCACTTGAAACTACATTTCCCGACAGTTCTTCACAATCGCAAGACAGATCGGCAAATGTTATATCACACGTATAGACGTGATTTGTTAGTTTTATACGTTAAAAGGGACATATTTCGCAACGAGTTAACACGAGTTATTAATCCGCCCCACTCTTTATTCCAATGGATATCCGTGCACGTATAGCGATTAAGATTGCCGGAGACGCGTGATCGTGTTATATTTTCCACACGATCGGCGTATTTCATTAATCCGAATAAAATCTGAGATTAATATTGTCCCGTTAACTGTTCGACGAACGTCATTTCAGATATTGGATATACGTATAATGTAATACTTGCTCCTAAGAGTGACGTTATTATAGGGTTACGAACGTTACAACGAACGTATCTCACTTTGGAATAGGAGAAATGGAAATTTGTAAAAATATCTGGGCTACGAGGAAATATTGTTTTTTCCGTTTCTGATAATTAATTATCACTGTCATTTATCATTTTCGTACGCGGTCACGAGGATTCACGAGTGTTTGTAATTTAGAATTATTTCTCGAGTTCAATTAATTACTTAACCCAACTTGATCGACGCTGAACGTGCATTTGTATCTACTGCCGCGCCGCGCCGTTGCAGAAGCTCCTCCATGCCAACTTCTTCTTCTCTTTATTCGTTTAAACCGAATTATAGAAACGGTAAAAACAGATTTTCAACGCCTTCCCGTTTCTTCTCCACGACTTACTTTCTGATAAATTACATTTTTTTCAAAATGCTGTATTAAAAATTTCAATTGAAATACAAGATGTCCGATGTAACTTCATGTGTTGTAACTATTCTGATAAAGAGATGTTAATGTTCTTTCTATAATGCTAGATAACGATACATATTTGTACACTTAAGTGTAATTAATGCGAGTGTACGATAGAATTCTTTTTTGCTTAATACGTGATTTAAAAGTTGGCGGGGTAAGAAGACTGGAGTACAGTCGGTAAAGATGTACTGTGCCGTGATACTTGCTGATAAATTCTGTGTACACCAGCAGTTACGGAGTAAATATGGCCGTTTGGAGCAGGCTTTTACTTGAAACTAATCAGAAATTGTTTCGTTCAAATGGATTATTACGAAAATTATTACCAAACAATAATGGTAATACAGTTAACATTCAACAAGGTAGGATAGTAGTACTTATTTCATAAACAGAACGAATTGCCGAGAACCGAGAGTGCTTTGTTACGCAATCAATATTCGTCCATGTTTTTAATAGTTCATCTGTGGTAATAGAGTTTGTTGAAAACTCGATGATTGCCTAGTTGGCATACAATTCTTCTCTTTTCGTAGAATAATGTAATATGTGATAGCAAATTGTTTTCGTTTTTTATAGGGACTGTAAGATGCATGTCCGATCATCATGTTATGGAAGTTTGTGCAAGTCGTTGGCAATGGTATAAAACTAAGGATTGGATGCACTTTTATTTCTTCGTAGGTGCCATACCTGCAGCTCTAATTATATTCTGTAGTAATATATTCATAGGCCCTGCAACTTTAGAACCAATTCCAGAAGGATATAAACCACAGCTGTGGGAATATTATAGAGTAAGGCTATGCTTGAGAAACATTTTAAAGTGTATATCCAGTAGAAATTTCAACGTATAACCAATGTATTTTCTTGTAGTCCCCTATTTCCAGATTTCTGGCACAACATAAAGTAGTGAAATGTATAAAGAACTACAATGACTACAGATACTGGTCTTATAAGAGATATGCATTTTCTGGCCCTGGACTAGAGCGAGCAAGAATGCTAGTGGACAAATTACGTTTTAACTAATGTGTATCGTTGTAAAATAGATTATAGAATTACTGGATTTAATATAGAACATTAAAAAAAAATCGTTAAAAATTTACAGTTTACTGTTACTTTATTTGACTCTCGTTATTGTCTGCCATCTAGTGTTGAAATTCTAAATTAGAAATTGTATTTTTTTAGAATAGCATTAATTTACTTCAATAAAGTATTTATTTATCAAGTGGTAAATTATACGGAAGGATGATTTAGTGAAAAAAACTATATTTTCCATACTATTTCGAACGTATAAACGATATTGTGTATAGTTTGGCAGGCGTATGAAGTGTATTACAGTCGTTACACAATAGGCTTAAATACCGTTAGAGCGATCTAAATTTCTCGAGTATCTCTTTCGATTAATATTTAGAGAAAATTTTTGTAAACGAAATATCAAATCGTTTTCGTGTGACATTTAACAAGTTGCAGAAAAAAAGTACTTTCTTTTCCTTTCTTCCCGCTAATTATTTCAATTAACAACGGCGAATTGTGTCGCATCAGAAAAATCCGGGTAAATCAGTGTCGAAGAAATATAATCAATTAACGTATACTTTTTGTAGCGCTGCTTAACTAGCTTCTTGCAACGAGTCTAAATAAACATGCTAATCGTGCTGTTCCTCCCTATCGATACACCCGGATTTTCATTTCCACCATTCCAAGTGGAAGATAATTCGAATTGTTGGTTGTTATTATCATTTGCATAATTCTCTCATAATCAAAGCGTCACGCTAATTGAACAAACTTATTGATCTGGCGTCGATAAAGTGCGAGCAATTTTTCCTCGCCTATCGACCGATGCTTCTTTCTCCAAGATCCATCTCTTTTCATTTCTGCGTGAAACTCTGTGGATCGACTGTCACGATCTACCGACTGTGCGATTATTCTAGCGACAAGTTAATGACACAGCCGACATACGCCGATGCCAACGCAACAACTCGTAGTTAGTGGTCATTGCCAAGGTTGGATCGCGTATCTTGCATAATGCTTCAGCGTTCTCTACGGCGGCAAGAAGACGCTGTGGAGGATTAACACGTGTGCACGCTATTTCTACACGTCGACAGCGTCCTCGTCGTCGAATCGATCTTTAACCCCTTCACTGCGCGCCAGATTATCGGCAAAATCTCTCCTTTTGGTGTTTAAAAATTGTTATCAATTTTTAATTTCTATTATTAAATTAAAGTGAGAGTACTCGAAGGATAAGGAAAATTTCAGGATTGAATTAAGGGGAAAGTGTACCAAAAGTCTCACCAAAGGGTTAATTATTCCTCGGTCGCTATATATTATACATATTCCCTTTTTTCACCTCTGATTCCCCCGCGACGCACACTTCACAATCACGTTCGATTCTCTCTCGTTGTGTAATTCGTTCGTTCTCGTAATCCCGACCTGCACAATCCAACTCGCCTGGAAAATCTCAAATCTACCTCTCTCTGTCATCCTCTCGTCAAATCGCGTACAAATTTTTCCATCGTTGCAATTCGACCGAACGCCATCGAACGTTCGCTGTATCAACAGTGGAGAATTCTCTTCTCGATTACGATTACCTCAACGTTATTTCCATCTGGTTAGGAGAGGGAGGGGTAATTAAACTTCTCTTATCCGTTACGATAGATCGTCTATCGGGGGGAATAGGAGGGGGGGGGGGGGGAAAGATGTTGATAATTCGCGCGGTGCATCAATCTGCGATTTGTTTTTTTATCGGCTCGCTCGTGTAACAACACGATCACATATTATATTTGAAACGGCGGCGGCTGCGTGATGTAACGCAATACGCGTTTCATGAGATTAACACGCCGTGAATCCTCCTACAAGTGGATTTCACGCGTCCTTTAAACGATCTTTATGGTTTCGTTAGACGGTTGGACAGTTCCGGGGGAAAGTTCTCTTCCACTCCGTAGATTTAGAAAGTGTATGCCCGAGTAATTTGGATGACCGGAGAGCAAAAGTGTGCACTTTCAGTAATCTTTCCAGTCATCTCGACGTCGTTTTTCGCGCGATCGCCAAGGTAATCGGCTCGAGACGATTAATTCCGCCTATTCGTCCGGAGAATTAATAAACCGTAGAAAACAGAGGAAGCCTCGTTGCAAGTTAGTTACTAATATCACGCAGATCACGACTCGCCGGTGACATAACAATTATGCAATAATAAACCAGCTGATATCTTTTCAATTAAATACCTGCCGTAATAAACCTGTGATACGTTCGTTGAAATTCGTGGGTGCCCTGTCAGATATTTTCTCACACGATCCGAGCTTATCAAACATTCGTCGAGCATTCCATCTGTGCGTCTGGTAGAAACGATTGAAAATGGAACGATTATTTTAACGCTTATCGTCACGTTCAGTGGAATAATATCTTTCGTTTTACCAATCAGAAGAAGAAGAAGAAGAGAAAAAACAACAGATATGTAACAAAAAGGAATGAAATGGCAAGGTTCGTTTCACTTGGATTATCAGCGATCGCGAGATTACACATTCCCTCGGTCAGTGGATACGACATTTAGCACTCTCGTCGATTTATCGCCAACTATTTTATCAACATGTTCGTAACGTGGTTACTTCGAATTAGAAAATTATCCTCGGATCGTCGTTTCGATGAAATCTTCCGCTGCGAGGAAGCAAAGAAAGAGGAAAAAGCGAAGCGAGGTTCCACTTTCATCCAGGAAATCGCCGAGCTATTGTTTACGAACGCGACGGCGGTGGTTGTTCGCGGTATCTCGAGGAAATGACCGTTCATTTTGAAAGAAAAAAAAAAAATGGAAAGAACCATTGTGTGCGATTACGTGTTATATTGTTGTAACGTTGCCATAGATACAGCGCTTCTCTATCTCCGGTGCATCGCGATTGCATAATGATACTAAATAAAACCCGATACGCTGTCCGTTTTCTTCGTACCTTTTCAACTTCGATATTCGAGCCTACGATGATTACAGCAGTTTAATCGCGTAACAATTTTGTTACGCTTGACCTTCTCTAAATCAAATTTTATTTTCCATCCTCTCGGCTACGTCCGTTGAAACGGGACAAAAAATGGAAGAAGAAAACTGCTTTGTCACTGTTGTGTGTAATACCAAACTGTAATAATAGAAAAGGAAAAACGGATAAGAGCTGAACAAGATATGCTCGTCCTCTGTTCTCCAATTTCAACGTGCACGCGTAATGCACGGTATTACGAATTGTTGCGAAAGAAAATTAAATCGACGTCCTCAACAGCAACAGCTTCGTCGCGATTTATACCCTCTCTTGAAACCCTCGCCAGGGGCCAGCTGGATTTGCGGCAGACTGATTATCCGATTGTTTTGCGCGCAGAAATCAAAAGGTATTACGGCACGCATGCCTTGCCTCTCAAGGATCTGCCTACTGTGAACGCACGACCGGCAGACCTACGATCCCATTGCGATCTATTGTTTCAATTCTGTTCGTATTACATCGGTATTACGCGACGATGTCGTTTCACCCCGCGAAACGCGTCCAACGATTTATCCGCGGCCATCCTCTTTCTCGTTTCTATTTTGTCGCGATCGATCTGTAACGTTCACCGTGGAAACGAAAGTGTGTTGTATGCCTTGTAAACGCGTCGAACCTTTGCCATTACACACGGGTGTAACAGAGTGAGAGATAGATCGATAGATGAACCGATCTCGACAGTGGCAAAAAAAGAAACGTCGCGCGTAAAAAAGAGAAAAAAAGGATCGCTCCGATACGGCGATCATTATACAACCAGATGGAAAGATATTTAACGCAATCGCATTCGTCGCTGTAATTAGTCCAATGTGATAGTAATGTGATCATTTCTCGTCTATCGAAGCAATAATCGTCGTTTTTCTTCTTCTTATTGTTCTAACGCTCGTTCAATTCGACGAGTATCGTTGATTTATTCGATCGACGACAAAAGAAGAGCAAATATGTCTGTAAATTGTCCGTGGCAATTATTTTTCACACGACGAGCGTGTTACAAGTTTTCCTACCTCGCTCATTAATTACGATAGCCTGACAGTTTTTCTTTTTTTTACTAACTTACGTCTTCGTCTTGATAAACTAATTATCCTCGCACGATTACGTGTCACCATTGCACAGTATTTGCGTCGTTCCACTTGGACAACTGGTTACAAAATGTTTAGAATTGTATAGACCGCGGAAAAGGTTGGCGATTTTCGGTTTCATTCTGCTCTCGATCGAGATAAGAGAAAACTACCAGAGCATATATCTTCGACTGACAGAGAGAGAGAGAGAGAGAGAGAGAGAGAGAGAGACGGCAATAAGGAAAAAGCAAAAGAATCTTGTTACCAGTGTAAGGTCAATCGTAATCGGAAACGGAAGGCTTCGGAGGGCTACTGCGATTTTGATTTACATAAAAGACATTCGTCATGGAGATAGCGGGTTTCTGAGCTGAACGGGTCCTTGGACTTATTTCCTGGTTAAAACAGTCGGACTTTCGTTCATTCACATCGTGCTCGATCAATGGCAAGGCCTTTAGAGTAGGGGAAGAAACGTGTCTGCCGAAAGTAAAGATCGGCTGCTCGATTCTTTTGCAACCATACAATCATCCCTTCTCTTCGTTTTATGAAAGTCCACGTTTTAGTTCGAATTATTCTTTACGAGAATAATTATTGCTTTCCACGAAGATCGAGTGTCGTTCGTTTGAAGAGTTATTTAATCCTTTCGCTGCGTTAAGTACCATTTTAGTACCTAACGCAGATGTCCCACACAATCTTTCCTTTTCGCTGTATCGTTTTCAAATTTGTATTATTAAATTAAGGTGGAAGAGTGCAGAGGATGAAATTAAGGCTTAAGTTACCATGGAAGTGCGCCAAGAGGCCCCAATAGCATAGCGAACAAATTTTCGAAGCGTCTACAGGCGCCGATAACAGTGAAAAATAGTGGACCTTTTATTCGTTCACTAACCACTTTATTAGAATAACATTTTGAAGGTGTAAGATCGAAAGAAATCGAGGATCTTGTCGATCAAACTGCTCCGGAAGTGTTTGCGTTACGCTTATTACAATTAACGCTTTATGCGAATTTTATGTTAAACCCGGCACGAGATCAAGTGTCTATAAATTTCACATCGAACTGTTACAAACGAGAGCGGTCTATTTCCAACGACCCTGTCCATTTACGAGGACGTGATTTATCAGCGTCGGCGAGATGTAAATGAGTATTTTTCAGAGCGAGCGGTTTTTAGAATGGCGCGAAATGCAAATCAACGTATTCTTCGCATTAGTCATTTTTACCAAGCAGAGAATTACAGTTCAATTAAACGAACAAGATCGTTGCCGATGAATATATTTTACATAGTCGGAAAATCCTGCGCGCATGCTCGATCGTTCGCGATGCGTCGAACAGTAGAGAGAGAAAAGTGAACGCTGTTGTGTGGATTCGTAGCCGGTGATGAAAGAACGAATAACTGAATAATCGTTCTGTTAGAAGAAAGGTATGTCGCGTGTACAGTACGACAGGAAAGAAAAATTGGCAAAAAAATCCCGATCTATCGTTTCAAGAAAATCAAATACAACGATCAATGCCGCTGTTGAACAGGATTTATTGCCAGCGTGGTTTAGAAGGGTGAACAATCGATACCTTGAAACGGTAGATATTGTTTGTACGGCGCGGCATTCCAGAAATATATATTTTATACCTGTGATCTGTATCGCAGTGTAACAAGTGGAAACGGTACACCCTGGTGTATGTATCGATCTAACGCGCGATAGACAAGGAAACCTTGTACGTGACAGCCGGAAAACGTCGATTAGGCGACAGCATGACGAACTTGATAAGAAGTCGTAGCTTTGATGCAATGATTTTCTTTCGTTCTCTAGTATTCTTCCAGTTCTAGTGTCACACTTGTTTCTATACCTCTATGATTATGCTACGCCGAAACAAAGTTGTCAATGGATCGCGTTGTACCTGCTATCTGTTGAATCGACCGTCGGTTCACTCGGTTAACAGGCGGTTTTAATATCGTTAGATGGGTAAATATAATTGCTGGTTTAAAGGGAAGCGTAAGAAATGAACAACAAACAGGTAATCGATAAATAATTGCAGAATTTTCAATTAGTCCGGGATAGAAGAAGAACGATTGTTTTACCTAGCGGATAAACGGCTAATCTCGCAGATTAGATTAGTCGAATTAGATTAGTGTACGGCGCGTATAGTGATAGTAATAATGTTGCGCGACTAATTGACCGGAGGCTAAATCGAGAATACTTTTCCAATTGACGTTGCATTATTGACAATTAACGAATTCGTTTAACCGTGAACTTTAACGAACAACCTGCACATATCGTCGTCGTCCACTTGTCACCTTTCCCTTCTTCCCTCTATCTCGTCGCTTTCTTTCCAATATATTTCATCTTTTTTCGTTTCGAGAAGACATCGCGCGAAAGAGACGACTAAGTTGGGCATTGTCGTTCTGAAAGCCGGAAGAGATTATCCCCACCTGCGGAGAACCGTGTATACACAATCAGCGAGGATTAAAAAATAGCTCTAATTCATTTATGTAACGGGAGGCTCGAAATACACATACGTACAGGATGCGACTTTGCCAACACGTGTTCACTAAAATTGTAGATCCTCGTAAATTAGATAGAATTCTGCCGCTAGAGTGATTTTACAACTTTACGCGTTTCGAGATAATAGCACGAGGATACGAATGAAAAAAAAATAGAGAAAAACGTTTCGAGGAATTTTTCAACCTGTCTGCAGGAGATTTCCCTCTATAGATCGATCACAGTTTCGCGATCAAGGCAACAATCTTGCACACGTGTTTGTTTTCGTATCGTTTACGAACGGTCGAATAAAAAGGAACGAATCACGCGTGGACTACTCGGGAATTACAGCGGACCGATGGTGTCGAGAGAGAAAAGGAGCTTTTCACTTGCTATAATACTTCTCGGAAGGATCTGAGTTACGATATGTTCATTGGCGAGAAGCCGGTGCATGATTTTTAGGTCAAACAGAGTTTGCCTTGGCAAAAATCGAGTTCGAAGGTCCTGGCGAACATATAACGCTGGACTGTGATTCGAAGAAACACATTCGATAAAGAAAAAGATACTTGTAGACCTCGATCGAGAGTGTTGCACCCCGACGATGTCTTTCATAATACCGCTTGTCGGAAAACAAATATTAACGCTTCTCGCCTCTACTCTTGCAATTCTCCACTTGGTTCTCCTTTCTGCCAAAAAACACCGCGATATTGCATGTACAACTCTAATATTTCGACGATCGCCAGGATCACGTCTGCCTAAAGGATACGTCTGTTAACGGTGTATTCCGAAATTTTGGTAAAAAAAAAAAAAAAAATGAGTGGAAGAAACCTATCGTCACTTTTTCCTCCTAAATTTCACTCACACTTTCATTCTTCCAATTCCACGCGGAAAAATCTCTCGCGTTGAATTATTCAGAATTTCGGGACCGCACGTTCCCCGTTAATTCTCTCATCTCGAACCATTCCACGCAAGATCGCGCATGATAATTGCGAAATAATAGCCAGTCAGTCCCGAAAGTCGCCTCGCATGCAGAAGTACGTACTGTTCGTTGATTTAGGAAACAGACTATCGACAAAGAGCGAATCTAAAACAGTTCCTTTGTGGAGGGAAGTTGGTTGTCCCCGGTCCTTCGGAACAAACGCGGAACACAGAGGCTGTAACTTACGCGTTGTTATTAACGTCGCTTTTTATCGCAAGCGTTGAGACTTACAATCACCACACGGAGGTCGTGCCTTTTGTCGTGAATGCATAATATAATGGTACCTTTTACCAGCAAACGGCGTGGATAGTAACCGCGCTAGAATATCCTATTCGACCATCTATCAAAGACCCCGTTGTGTACAATTTTGCGCAAAGTTGAAACTTGATATTTGCTTAATATTTGTAGATCGTTATTCCAAGCTTCTTCTCGTCGCAGATATTCTCTTCGTCTCGCAGTTCGCTCTTCGTTTGCAGTACGTGCAAACGTGTCTCTCTTTCTGAAGGTGTATTTCATTGTAGAATTGTCAGACGATGAGAAACACTTTGAGAATTTTAGCGAACAGGATGTTCCCTTAACGTGTCCGCCTCGAGGATGGAAAATTCTTCTCGGAAAGGTGCGTGGCAGATAGGGCCATAGACAAGAAGACAGATGCAAAAGCGAAGGCTATTGTTCTGTCTATTGTACGAACTTTAAGTTGCAATTATCCGTGGTTATCAGGAAAAACCAGCATCCCGTAAAAGGTTGAATCACGATGAATATCGAAAATCGATTCTACTTAAACAATACTCTTCCTTTTTCGCGTATATCTTCCTGTGTTGCACGTTGAGTTCACTCTAATAATACACCGATAACTAATCCCATACGATAACTAAGCCTTACTACAATTAATACTCAACAGATACTTATGGATTAATATCTCGTTGAAAAAACAAAAATGGTTATCCATTGACGAAGTGCGGTACTACTGAGCATATTTCAGTATCTCACCCACGTGCAGGTGTGATAAGGCAGAGAAAGAGCGACGGTGTGGCGAAAGAGCGGAGTGAATCAGGGGGATAGATGCTAGGATTGATGCTATAGAATTTGAAATTTCAGTTTGACAGTTTGAAGAAAAGAGAGAGACCGGCAGACCTCGAGGCGGCCCTGGAAGGGCGCTCTTCGCGAGGCGGCGTTTTCAGAGAGGCAACAGCCGGCTTCCCGCGACTATAAATGCGAACGCGCGGGCGAAAATCATCTCAGTGCCGCGTGCGAAAAAACCCGCGTCGGAGCGTACGTGTGCATGTGTGTCCTGTATGTGTTAAAGGTGGTACGGTTGTTTGAAACGATAGTAGTAGTAGTAGCCTCTCTCGGAAGCACATGTATTACACTCTGGTTCGTGTCCGTCTCCGCTGCTCACGTACAAACATTTTTACGGGGGATTTTAACGCGGAAGAGTTTAGAGAGAACGGCGAGGACACGATCGCAATCGAAATAACTTGGATCGTGTAACGCTGTGCTATCTCGCCACGCTCACGTCGCCGTTCGTGATCGTGACCGCGGATTTATAGATCGCACCGTGACGAAATCCAGTCGCGGAACATCCTTGTGAGAAGGCGGAACACAGCCGATCGGTGATTTACGGTATTACCTTAAGGTTGATAGGTTGAAACCATGGGAAATCGAGCTCGAGTTTGACCGACGATCGATGGAAACGAGAAGGGGACCATGCAAACGACGAGAAGATTGTTGATCAAAGAATAGTTGATAAAAAAGAGAGACATTTTCTGACACTTGGATCGATAGGATTGAAGGTAGGTTCTAGGAAATTTTCTCAACTTCTTTTCGAACTTGTTGGCCGCGGTGAATGGGTAGAAATAGACGGTGGGTTTGCTGCATACTGTCGACGTATCGAAAACAAAACGATCGTGGATCAAGCGTCTCTCGAATTAGAATAGAGCGGTGCGTGATCATTGACGACGCGTTTCAATCTGCTGACATTTAAACGTGGCGGTGTTGTTCAATCGATCGAACGTTCGATCTATGGTAGCAACCCTGTTACGCGGACACGACCACCGCGAACGCTACCTGTCGCTACTCTGCGCGCTATTTATCATTGTTCCTGACCGGAGGACATATATTTGAAGAAAATCGCGCGACAAAAAGTACCTTTCCTCGTAAAGACGAACGAAACGTGTTCCTTTTCTTTTGGATGAGAATGAATTTTTCTAGAAGCATCGACTTCGCTGGCATCGGTGGAAAAGGCGAAGCTTGCACGTTAAAAAACAGAGAGCTTGGAGATGTTGGAAATGTAAATAAAAGTAGGTAAATAAAAGTGATATCATTTATTTAGACAGAGGTCCGACTGTCTCGATCGCGCGTATCGCCACTCTGTTATTACGGCCGTGAAAGCGTCGAGAACCGAGTTAGGAACAACAAAAGACTGTTTGTTCGAGAAACTCGTCTCATCGACGAGACATTACCGCGAACCGAGTAAGAATAATGAGACTGGTTCGCAAATAATAACCGTTCTCCGGGAGGACTATCGCGAATCGTCGAATTGGCGTTCTACGATCTTTGTAATTGCACCTCTGCACGATACCGGTCATAACGCGTATTTTATGCTAGCGTGTGTCCCGTCGTTGGATCACAATGCTTACGTTTCCAGTCTTACGTGAATTCCCTGTAAAAAAGCGCCACAGGTGAAGTAAACTTGGCGCAAGTGAATAAACATCGGACCACGTTACTCACCCGTATCAAATATACCTGCGACATAAGCAATTCCTTGTTTTTTTATCGAATTCGTCGAGACTGCTTGCTTATTCTGGTAGCTGTTCTTGTTTTAAAAAGAAAAAGGGAAGCAAGTATTTGTGTGAAAAAGAAACGAGCGGACGATTAAACGGTTCTCTGTAGGCTAGAAAGAAGAGGGTGGTGGAAAGGAACGTGGTCTCGTTAGACAGAGAATCGCCCAGCGATCGGTGAATAAACCCTCACGTTGAATCAAGTTGAATCACGAAATCTAATGCCCGGGCAAATTCGTTAATAGAGAAATTGCGACTCACGTGCGAACCTGTCACGTGAAGCGTTGCAGTCTCCTCCGACGCGATAGGAAATCACGCGCGTCTCATGACTCACGGGACCACGAGATCCTCACATAGGGACAAGTGACCGTTTAATCCTCTCCATTATTCAATTTCCCCTCTGGCCCTGTCGAAAAAACACGCGCAAAACTTCCGGTCCGATTATAAACAACCGTGTTTCTCCAAGGAGTTGCCTAATATTATACAAGAAAAATTGCGCAATATATTCCCGAGGAATCTTTTCATTTTTTTTCTTTCTTTCTTCCTCGAGATTCCAACTTTTGTCGCCTTCGAGAAGTAAATTTATCTCAATTTCCGCGTTTCTTTTCGTTTACACAGATTGGACAAGCTTTATCGGACAGGATGATCACTCGAGCGAAACTATGGTGGAAACTGCTGCAGTCCGGCCGGCAGAAAGGTGTAAGGCAATTTCATTACTTTCAATTAATCTCAACGTCGAAATCGTCCCAACGTCAACTCTTTTTCTCGCAATTTCGAGATAAAGTCGACGTGTCGACACCGTTTCATACTCTTTTTACCGAAAGATCGGAAAATCAGCGGTGTTATCGTTCCGTATCGATACGGTGATAACTTGGACACCTACTACCTAATGGAAATTCCAAAGCCTGCTCGGTTACAGTGTTCGCGCGACAGTGGAGCGTGGAACGCGTTAACTTTATTTAGAGAGAGATACCGTAGTATATCGTTGAAATCGGTGGAATCATGAGCTGTCTGTGCAAAAGGCAACCGGCACGAGGATCGAACAGCTCGACAGTGTCCCCGGGAAAAGAGCAAAACGCCACCGGCATCCGTTGCACAAATGTACGCGTAACAACAATGCACTTGAACGATCGCAATCTGTCGGGTAATTATCGCGATTCGACGTATCTGTCGAGAACATCTCTCCAGGCGCTTCGTTCGAACGAGGCCAGCGAAGGGAGAACCGACGAATAAACGTCTCGTCCTTCCGTTCAGGGGGATTTTCGAGATTCCTTCCACCGCGGTTCGCGACTTTCCTCCATTTTTTCGCTCCGAGCGACCGCGAACCTTCGCGTTTGACCTCCGGAGAAACTAGTTTCTTTTGCCTCTGTCCGGCATAAATCGGCGCGCTCGATTGAAACACACGTACGAAAATATAAATAATTCCTACCGAAGGAGAAAAAGAGAAGAGGGGAATATCAGCGCAACAACGTCTCCTCCTCCTTCTCTCTCTTCTTGCGGCAATTCACGCGATTAGTCCGCGCGAAGAAAAGGGGAAAAATGAACAACAGCCTTCTTCGTACGATTTCCTGTACGCCTTGCGCGATGTCTGATCGTTATTTCAGTACACGTTCGCGAAACCTGCCGCTCACGTCCCGCGGCTCACATCTAGGCTTAATTGGTCCACTCCAATTGGTGGAGATCATCGAAAGAATTTTACAAGGACGTTCACGCGTTTTTCAGATATTCGCCGGACTGGCTGTACAGTCTGGACAGATATCCGTGGGGCTTGGCCAGGGATTCAGCGCGGTTCTCGTCCCGAAACTGCTGGAAACTAACTTCGCCGACACGTCGCAAGCCTCTTGGATCGCTTCTTTGGGCATCGTATCGAATCCTCTGGGATCGCTGATTGCTGGATTATGCGCGGAATGGTTTGGAAGGAGATCGGCCATCGCGTTGGCTAGTTTACCACACGCTGCCGGATGGTTGCTGATAGCACTGGCGAAAGATGTACCTATGCTGTACGTGGGCAGGTTCATCGGTGGAATTGGCATGGGCATGGTGAACGGCCTCTACCTCTACATCAGCGAGGTATAATTAAAGAGTTTAACCTGTTAACCGTATTTATCATCTCCGCTTCCTAACCGAGAATAAATCAAAATTGTAACTACTCCACTTTGTTTCCTACGAATGTGAATATCACGTATTTCGTAGTTAGCGTAAGCACAATCTCTCGATGAATAAACTATTGTGTTTCGAGGGCTTCTGAACCAATTACGAGTTTAAGAGAGTTCGTTTCTCAGTTGGAAAATTTCATTCGCTTGAGAAATTTCGTTGTATTTCTCTACAATAGCTGTTTATTGTAATCCATTGGAATATTGCAGGCTGCGGCGCCGAATCAGAGAGCATGGTTGGGAAGCTGTGGTCCAGTTCTGGTCTCGTTAGGTGTACTGATGATCTACACACTTGGAGCAGTGACAACGTGGCAAAGGGCTGCTGCCATTAGCATCGGACCTGCTATCCTTTCCTTAGCACTAACACGGTAATTAATGTCTCCAAGTATACACTTCCTTACACCTTCTATCAATACTATAAACCATTCTTAAACCAACTCCTTATTCCCCTTCTATTCTTTCAGCACGATCCCAGAGACTCCAGGCTGGCTAGTCGCTAGAGGAAGAAAAGAGGAAGCGAAAGAGTCTCTGTTATGGCTTAGAGGACCTGGTTTAAGCACGGACAAAGAATACGAGGAACTTTGCGAGGCAAACGTGAAAAGAGAGGAGGGAAAACAGAGTTTGTTCACAGCTCTTCACATGCCAAGCGTATGGAAGCCATTTCTCATTCTTCTCGGCTTCTTTACGTTTCAACAAATGTCTGGAATCTACATAATTCTATTATACACTGTGAGCGTTCTTAAAAAAATCGGTATCGACTTGAACGAGTACACGGCGAGCGTTGGAATCGGCGTGATCAGGCTGTTCGCTTCTATAGCCGGTGCTGGTCTCGCCAATAGCTTTGGCAGAAAAGTGTTGGCCTTCGTCAGTGGTCTAGGAATGGCGATCTCTGCTGTAGGCGTCGCTCTAGCCTACAGGTTCTTACCGTTTGTTTAATTGACACTTTGTAATTCACGAAAGCCTGCGATATTCCTATTTTAACCATTTCGTGACCGAATTGTTTCGTTAACTTTTCTTGCGTATCTCTTCTCTAATTTGTATTCGGACACTGAAGTGAAACGTACGCATCCTCCACTGGTCGCGAAAGGCTAGCTACCTGTTCCGTCTAACAGGTACTGTAGAGACCGATTTAACCTACTAACCTATTTGGGTTCGTTTCTTGGAGCAGCACTTACCATAATCCTTAATGTAGAATGAAAGATCACGAGATATTGTAGCCATTTAGTTTTAGTCTGTTTGTTGGAACACACAAGTACGATGTATTTTACGTTTAACATGGACGTAACGATGAGTAAACCACTGCTACGTTCTAAGCATTAGTGATCACAATGACGAGTTCTACTCCAAGTTTTCCCCAATTAACAGGTTAAAGTAGGTTTCTGTAGATTGTCCAATGAAACGTGTTTTTTTTTCCTTCTTTTTTTTCTTTGCAACGCGCGACGTTTTTCTCCGTCATTGACATCGATCTAATTAACTAATTGATACAATATTCTTTTACCTTTAGGTTCAAATTACCATCTGTGGTATCCTTGGCATGCATCGGTGGCCATGTGGGCTCCTCCATGATAGGATACCTTACCTTGCCTTGGGTGATGACCTCTGAATTGTATCCACTGGCGTTCAGAGGACCTCTGGGAGGAGTTACCACCAGCATGGTACAAATACTGACGTTCGCGACCATCAAACTCTATCCAGATGTAGATGCGTTAATTGGAATCGAGAGCACCATGTGGATATTCGCCGGAGCTGCGACTCTAGGAGCTGTGTTTGCCTTGACGATTCTGCCTGAAACAAGAGGACGAAGTTTAGATCAGATAGAGAGCGGATTCTCTAAAAAAGCTGAAATAAATTCCTCCGTCGAAACTGTGCCAAGCAGCGTTATCGCTGATTGTCAGCCTAAGAATATTACACTTGAGAAAGTTGCCTCGAACTCGGAGGAGAAATACCATAATATGATGGTAAACGCGTACGCGTACGATAATCTCTGTCTAGATTTATCAGCCGACGATACTGAAAAAGACAGAAAAGAACCGGCGAAAGAATCTGAGACGAATCGTGACGACTACAGCGACGCTACTCATGCCATTTCTTTGGAACATGTTTAGTTTCTAATAAGGTATATACTCGTTAGAGTGAATCGCGTGTACCGGAATAGAAACGAGCATCATCCAATTTTCCATTCTCCGAGCTTCGTGTTGTGATCGTTTAATACGGAAAGCGGGATATATTTATTCTACTACCTATGTATGTTTCGTTAAACCATTCAAACCAGTATTACAAATATTGCTTTAACAAAGGTTAAATGTGTGTTCTTATAAACAGTGAAAAATGGGTAATTGTGGTACTTTGTACGATCGTAAGAAATGATTGTTTTTAAAACTGTGCAATTTATTACCGATAAGAAAAGCGATTGTTTATTCTACAGCGTAATGTATGGTGTAAGAATCAAGACGATTCGGTTGAACGTTGTAATCGTAAAGCGAAAGAACGAGAATATTTGCGACTACCAGCTATAATGGTGTGCCTACCGACAAGTAGCTTTTTACAGAAGTTAATTACGAATGCTGTGTGCACCAGTTCATGTAATTATTTATGTATATATACATATATTTATATTTACAAACGTGCGTATTTTTTAATGTTTCTTGCCTAAGCTACGTTAGATATCGAGATAAATATCGTTGTAAATATCAGTTTTATTCATGTAAAATGTAAAAAATTGTATTTGATAACAAATATACTATTTTTTCAACAAATTTCTTTCAGTTTCGTTTGAAATTCCACCATCTTTCAATCAACTTAACTAGAGTACTATAAATTACGTAGGAAATAAGTATGGACCTAATTGTAAACAAAAGAAATCGAATGAAATAGATAAACGAAAGTAAAATTACCGGCTGGGAGCATGAAATCCTATTCTAACAATAAGAAAACCACGACCTGTGTAATTGAAGCAGAAAAAAGACAAGGATGTAGAGAGATAAGAGGCGCAGAAAATATGATTTTACTGACTCTAGTTATCTGCTCCTGATACTTGACGTTCTCCATTTTATAGTAACGTATTGATGATAAGTATTATTGCATGCTATACTATTTAAATACGTATATGGTAAATAACACTTCTACCATAACTCAGGAAATATTCTAGAAAAATTTTCCTTGAAATTATCTGAAAAATAATTATTCATCATGAATGTTCAAAAAAATTGCACAGTCAAATGTTTAATATTCATCGAAATTAAAATACACCCAAGGATGGCAATAGTACCGTGTGTTAGACAAGGAAAGGAATAGCTCTAGACAAGGACACAAGGTTTGATATCCGAAACTAGCGCCATCTCGCGTCAGGTGACACGAACTACGATTTTCTAACAGGATTACAGGATATAAACAGAGGTATTAGACAAGGATGGAGAGCAAACGCTTCCTATTGGCTGGCGGGCACCCAAGCTCGACCAATCACGAGCTAAACCAAGTCCGTCGGTGAAAAATCATTAATACCTCATTGATTACGATGATTCTGTGAACTTTTAAAATTGAAGAATGAAGTATGGATCTTCAGCAACTTTCACATATAGTTTTTAGTGCTCTAAAAACTTTCAATAATTAGTTATTAATAATTTTAGTAAGTGATGTCGGGAACGATACCGCGTACCGTCAATCGCCTTTGCGGTTTTTCAATAATTTCATATCTTTCTTCTAAATTCGTATGCAACTAACTGTATGCGTTTGAAAGGCAATTCCTTTAGCTACATTCTCATGTAATTTCTATTCACATATTCCGTTTAGTTTAGGAGTTATTAAATATTATTTGAGAGTGTTCTCTATACATCGTACTTGTGCAAAGTCAACTGTTGTAAACAATTGCTAATATCTATTAAACCACACGACTTACAGCTACTAAACTAATTGCAGAATATAGATAAAAGTCCATTCTACATTCTGCATGCTTAAAAGTGAATAATTTGTTATGCATTTCTATTGAAATAACGAAAATGTGTTATGCTTGAATGCGACGTGCGTAAAGAATGAATGGACTCGCCTAAAGAATGTTAAATAATTATCTAACCATAAGAGATATGTTAATAAAGATTATAGAAGAATATAGCTAAAGGAGTTGCCTTTCGAACGCATATAGTTAGTTGCATGAGAATTTAGTAGAAAGCTATGAAATTATTGAAAAACCGGAATGAGACTTGACAGTATGCGGTATCGTTCCCAACATCACGTACTAAAATTATTAATAACTAATTATTGAGAGGGTCTAGAGAACTAAAAAGTATATGTGAAAGTTGCTGAATGTTCACTCTTCATTCCTCAATTCTAACAGTTCACAGAATCATCGTAAATAATGAGTTATTTATTATTTTTCACCGACCGACTTGATTGAGGCCCTGGAAGAACGAGTCTACCGGCCCGCTAGCCAATAGGAAACGTTCTCTCTCTATCCTTGTCGCACACTATTGCTATCCTTGTCTAATACCTCTGTTTATATCCTGTAATGCTGTTAGAAAATCGTAGTTCGTGTGACCTGGCGCAAGATGGCGTTAGTTACGAATTTCAAATTTTCTGTCCTTGTCTAGAGCTATTCCTTTCTTTGTCTAACACACGCCACTATTGCTATCCTTGTCTGACGCTCTTTTCCTTGTCCAACTCACTCTATTCGATTTTTACGCCTTCCTAACGCTTTCCAGATTTAGTTTATTTAATATTACAACGGAATATCATTTGAAGAATGAATGTTTGGGAATAGGAAATGGATATGGTGTGTAAGGAAGGAATAAGTAGACTGTGAAATGCTGTGAAAGAATATTAGTGTATTGTAACCTTTTTTACCAATATTTTCAAGCACCGATAATAATTGTTTGTAATAATTGTTACTAAGGCACTTATTACTACATTGTAAAATTGAGAAAATTCCAATTAATTTTGTCTTTACCTTAAGAGATACCCCCTTAAGTAAGTTTTTAAGAAACTGACTAGAAGTAAGAATTTCATGTACACAAATACAATATATGAGAGATGGTTCTTATGGTGGTTCTCTTTCCTTCTCCAATTGTTCTTTCTCCTCGTCTTACTCATTGCCAGTATATGCGTAGATCTAGAGGATTATATTGATAATACAGTAGTGTTATGCATTAAACTTGGACATGAAATTTCTTTTGAAATTCGACGTCATTTAAGGATGGACAAGGATTTAGTAGTGGATAATGCTATTTTTAAGTGACAAACGCAGTTTTTGCCACTCAAATTTTTCTAACTACTACATCGAATTTACAATAAATTTTTATAAAATATTCACATAACTTATAATATGTGTATAATATGATATAATTTAATGTTAGCACCGTAAAATACAACACAACTTAACCTAATACTGTAAAGTACAATAAAATAGAGTATAGTATTATACATTATAAGTTGCCTGTATTAGTAAAATATTCGTATATTATTATTAATAATTAAAAAATTGATACTTACGTATTAGTCAAATATATGTTTAAAGTTCCAACTTTATCGTGCTAGCAACTATGAAAATTGTCGTTTGTATGGTACATACATAATGTAGAAAAACATCCCTATGCTTTGGTAATTTCATCTTCCAAACGTAACAATACAGTATTGAATATCAAACATGCATTTAACTGTAAACAAAGTTTCACAATTTGTATATTCTAATATCCTGAAACCTCGGAATGTAAGTTGAAAGTATATACAATACATTTTAAATGATTGTATTATAATTGTCACTTTTATTTTCGATGATTGTTGTAGTCATCCTAACCTATTATTTTCTGCTAAAACCAGTGTTCGTGATAAAAGAATAAGTTATTAAAAAATAATATAAACAAAAGAGGATATTAAATTATATTTGTCCATGTGTTGTTAAAATTTCGAAAATCGTTTTCGCCTTTTTTAAATATTTCTGTGTTAATTTCAGATCAGATACTACTGTAAAAATGTGAAAGATACAGAAATTCCTAAGAACCCACTGAAAAAATATTATGGTGCAAGCGATCAAGTCACTAATGGTTATATATATGATAAAAAACCTTTCAAATACACTTGTGTAGCTGGTAAAAAATATTCATGGTGTTTATGTGGTAAAAGTGCCAAACAACCATTTTGTGATGGCACACATAATAATATACATCTTAAAATAAAGCAAAAGCCTATATTTTTCACTGTTGAAGAAACCAAAGATTATTGGCTTTGCAATTGCAAACAAACATCGAATCGACCTTTTTGCGACGGTACGCATCTAAGAGAAGATATTCAAGAAAAGAGAAGATAACATAAATATATTAAATAATAATTCACGTGTTAGTAAAAATATCCCCTGCTCAATATAATTATTGTGACAAAACATATATTTTGTTTTTTTTTTTTTTAGTCGAAAATTGACTGGTGATCTTTATTTTTTCCCTCTTAAAATCCTTATGTCTTCCTTTCAATGTAACGTATAGTTGGTCGAAAGAAGCTTAATCCTTCCATATAAGTTTTCAGTGTTCTTTCACTAAATAGAAACTTGCTATAAGCAATCTCATTGCTGACTAGTTCACTTTATACATGTTTGAATTTTAAACTTGTTATATGCAACGAGTTTTACAACAAACAGAACGTTCATATAATTGTCAAAGTTTCTTACATATTTGTATGAAGTATTTTTTATTAGCCTTTTGCGACTGTTTGTTAGTTTTACCATGAAATCTATGTAAGTTTTTGATATTTTGTTTTCTACAGACTCCGTATATGTACTTACCGTATTATTATATAAATTTTTATTCGAACTACATGTTTTATCAATTGAACCTCTCGAAGTACGCAGTAATAGTACCTAATAAAGTAATAAATAGCTTACTATTTTATCTCGATTAGGAATTTGAAACCACCTGTTACAATACGAAAGCACGCCAACCGGCCTAAATGTAATAATGATACATCTAAAGAACCTGTTAAAGTTTTTTGTCGTTTGAGACCAATGATTTATCCTAACGATATCTCATGTATAAAAATTATTTCTGACACAAGTTTGGTTATTACACCATCAGAATCAGCAACAAACATTCGTACTGCAAATAAAGCTGTTCAAACTTGCTTTAGTCATGTTTTTGGCCCAAAAGCTTCTCAAAAGGAAGTATTCAATGTTGTGGCTTTGCCACTTGTTGAAAACCTTATTAATGGCAAAAATAGTTTACTCTTCACATACGGTGTAACTGGAAGTGGTAAAACTTACACTATGTCTGGTAATGTGCATGATGCAGGCATCATGCCTTGTAGTTTAAACATTGTTTTTAATAGCATAGTAAACTACCAAGCAAAGAAGTTTATCTTCAAACCAGATAAACTAAATGGTTTTGACATACAAAGTGAAGGTGATGCACTGTTAGATAGACAAAATGAACTACAGAAGGTTGTCAGTTCTCACAATGGAAAAGCTCCCAAAGCGTAAGTTGTTTTTATTTTTTAAATACTTTGCTATATTTATTGACAAATTTTTATATTTTGTATGCTTTTCATAGGTGTGAAGCAGATAATAACAATGATAGTAATGAGAATGCTTTAAATTTAAGTAACCAATCTGAAACTGTAGATATTGATCAAGATAATGCATATGCAGTCTTTGTAACTTATACTGAAGTTTATAATAACAGTGTATATGATTTATTGGAAGAAAATGAAGGAAAAATAAAGTGAGTATATTTAAAAAAAAATTAATTAACATATTATAAAATGTATGTAAAAATTCAGGACCTTACAAAGTAAAATTATTCGTGAGGATGGAAATAGAAATATGTATGTTCATGGATGCACTGAAGTAGAAGTGAAAAGTTCAGGAGAAGCATTTAAAGTATTTCAACGTGGTCAATGTAAAAGACATATTGCATATACTAATCTTAATGCAGAATCAAGTAGATCTCATAGTGTTTTTACTATAAGGCTTGTTCAGGTAAAGCAACCTAATTATATTATTGATATCTTATGCCTATAATGTTAATTTTCCATTAGGCACCACTAGATAAGGAAGGTGAACAAATTGTTCAAGATAAAAGAGTGATTTGTGTTAGTCAACTGTCTTTGGTAGATTTGGCTGGAAGTGAACGTACAAATCGTTCTAAAAACACTGGACAGAGACTTAGGGAAGCAGGTAATTTATAAAAATGTTATATTATTGATCATGTATGTAATTCATATTTGTTAAAATAGGAAATATAAATAATTCATTGATGACGCTACGGACTTGCCTGGAGATACTTCGTGAAAATCAGACTCAGGGTACAAATAAAATAGTCCCCTACCGAGATTCGAAAATAACACATTTATTTAAGAATTACTTTGATGGTGAAGGAAATGTTAGAATGATCGTATGTGTTAATCCTAGTATCGACGATTATGATGAGACCATAGTAAGTACTCATTTTTTGAATTCAAATAATATCTGAAATACATATATTACATGTATAATAATAAAATGTTTATTTTGTTCATGTAGCAAGTGCTGAAGTTTGCTGAAGTTAGTCAGGAAGTACAAATAACAAGTTCTGCAACGTCAAAATTAGATTTGGGATATATACCCGGTAGAAGACAGGCCAATAAGGTAGAAAAATGAAAAAAAAAAAAAAAAATGTGCGTTAAGGAGGGAAACTAAAATGATATTTTTTGTACTTAATTATTGATATTATCTTTTGATAGATATTTAAAGAAGCCAGAAATAGGCTAGAAAGTGCCGGTAATCCAGATGCCGCTGATTTAGAACTTGATTTAGGTCTAGTGTATAGGTAAACTGTGTTCTACTATTATTCGTTCATAACAAAGAGATTATTCAGTTCAGATTATTCAATTTCTTCGCAGTCTCGGAGGACCTTTTCCAGAAATGGATTTAACAAATCCGCATAACGATAAAGTAATTACTACGCTTATGCGTTTCTTAGAACTGCGTATTCAGAAGCGGAATGTGTTGCAAGAGGATCTAAAACAGAAACGTAATTCTAGAAAGTACTAACTATGCAAAAGAACGTTTTCCGGAAATTCATGTACAATTTGTCTTTTCAGAAACCAATTTCAGAAATATGCTGGTAACAATAGAACGGGAAAATGTATCGTTAAAAATTGAGAACTCTACTATAACAGCATCAAATGATCAACAAAAGAAAAAAGTAAGTTCTACGTGAATATTTGAAACATTATAATTATTATAGAATGATTACAGATATCTGCCTTGGAAGCTCACATTTGTAAAACAGAAAGCCAAATCGATACTTTACTGTACAGATTAAATAGTGCAAATGACTTAATCAGATATATGAAACAAGAAGTAACTTTCTATTTTATACTATCATTTATTTAAATCTTCAGCTGAACAAAAATTGATAGCATTTTTTCATAGCTAAAAGACAAGGATATGTTATTGAATCAGCGTGCAATAGATAAGCAAAGAGTAAAAGAAAAATATACTAGTAAAATTCAAGCAGAAACTGATAAAATAAGTAAGGAATTGGAAAGTAAACTTCGTCGACAACGTGAACTTCTCCAGGTATTCTAGATTAATTATATGCATTTTATATGATTATTAATTTATCGGAATTTAGAATCAGATGAAGGAGAAAGAAGATAAACTGAAGTTAATGAAGCAGATATTAGTAAGCGACAAAGAAATCGGTGCGGATGAAAAATTAGAATCCAAGGAAAGAGCTCATGTGGCAAGTGAAGAAGAAATGCCTATAACAGTTAATATTACTACGACTACTCCAATTACTGTTCCAAAAACAGCACCTTCTGCAGTAACTACATCGAAAACCCCTGAAAAAGCTGCATCTACTGTAAAATGTGAAGATAACAGCGATGTTCGATTAAGTAGAAAAGTAAATTCAGTGTATCATATATTAAAACACAACTAATTTTTTATTATATAATCATAACAAATTATTTTACCTTTAATAAATTTTAGGAAAGAATACCAGTAGTGAATTTGCGCTACAGACGATCACAGAGTGCTGACAGATGGATCGATCATCGACCTGCTGGTTTGGTTCCAGTTGGAACTATTCTTCAACCATTCGTTCGACATAAAAGAAATGTTACACAACTGACAGATCCGAAAGACATAACAAACAGAGCATCTAGATATTGTCTTGTTGCACAGGAACAAGATACTGATGGTGAACTTGAAACTAAATTATACAAAGTTAGTATTAGTAACATTTTTTTTTTTAAATATGAGTATGTTTCCGATACAATAATGAAACAATTCTTGGATCATAGGGAGATATATTGCCAACTAGCGGAGGAGGTGCACAAGTTGTATTTAATGATATGGAATATTTAAAACAAGTTTCACCTATTGCAAGAAGGAAACGCAGTGGTTACCTAAGTCCGGAAAAAGATTGCTGCTGTTCGCAAGAAAATAATTCGAAAAAACAGCGTGTATAATAATTGCAATGCTACAAACATTTCACTAATAATATAAGGTACATAGTACGTATGTAAAAACCAAAGACGCGAAGAAATTAAGTTTTTCTTCAATTTTTTACGTAATAACTAAAGTACAAATTAGTTAAGTATATGACACGTTTAGTATATTTTTGTTTAATTTTATCGCAAAATATATATTTTTTGTTACAAAGTTACTTCAACTATAAAAAAATAATCTAACTGGTTTTAGTTCAAACAATGTAATTATACTGTTACAACAAATAATTTTTGTTAGACAATGACATTTTTTAATACTTATTATTAAATAAAATTCAACATACTGTTTCCTAATATCTTTTTTATTTATAATTCCTTATTGTGTTAAATGTCCATTTATTTCCTGTGGCTTATACAACACAGACTCTGTGAATAATACAAACGTTAGGACAACAGAAGCCTGGATATGTATTGCCAACAGCGAAGTAGTGAATGTATATACATCGTTTCTATACGGTGCGAATTGTGAAAATCTAAACTGAAAAGGTACCGAAGTCTTTTGTAATTCAATTAAACAAACAGCTTACTAATCTGTATGCATTCAAATTTCTAATCGAACAAAGATTCCGTGCAAATTTTATACACGTTCAGTATTTGTAAGACAATGAATGTAGCAGTAAAAAAAGGTATATATGTGTATATATATGCTCGAAAAATTTTTTACTGCGTAGCAGTAAATCGTAGTTGACAGAATCAGTTATATTTTATCTTATAGAAAATATAACATTACAGCAATTGAGCGTATTTTCGTAACTGTTACCGTTGTTTTATAGTACAACTTTGTTGGCAATATGCATTACATTTTCATTTCTTTTTGTTGTTTTCCCAATGTGTTGGCAACGTATAAAATCATACAAAGTATCGAGACTAGATGAATACCTTAATTAGTAAAGTAATTAGTCATTACATTATGATCAGTTTTAACAAATTATAAAAAATCGATTATTAGATTATTTAAAGATAGAGTGTTATGCAACGATGCATTCTCCCTTTTGTTTTTATACGGTATAATGATATACGATCTTAAAATATGGTTTATTAGAAGCTATTTGTTACTTAGATAACTTTATCGAATAAAAAAGTGAAACTACATTAAGTTGTCCTGCATTGAAATTAAGCGAGATCTTGTGCAACTAGTTACGCCGACGCTTAACGCATTGAGAATCGAATGCTATGAAAGGCTTAACATTCTTTTACATGTTGTTTAAAAAAAAGTAACACTTTATTGACAAATTGTTTGTGTTTA